CTTGCATCTGGTTTGCCTGTCACTAATCTGGAAGCTATAGAAAAGTTCTACGAGTCCAATGGTGTCAATATTAAGTTAGATCCACAGATGAAAATACCATGCTCGGTATGTTAAGCTTGAACTTACATTTGTTATAAATGACTATGATTTCCTAAACAGCAGTGTGGTACTTCTCTGTGTAACCTCTATATTTGGTTGTTTGATGCTTATATACTTTGTTTACTGACTGGTGCATTATATTATGTGAACTCATAACTGATTATACTTTATGATAGAAAATATTCATCCAAACTGATGTCAGAAAGAATCAATTATTATCACATGTCTGCTTATTTGACCAGTGTTTAGAGTTAACTTTCTGATTAGATTTTCAGAAAGAGGAAGAAAATTATATGCAGATCGTACTGACGCTGATATTAATGGCCCGATGCAGAGTATTTCACGTCTTTATTATGTTTATGTAATTATTAATATTGGGAGTGCGGATGTAGAAATTCTGTTTTTATATATTCCCTTTTTGGAAGTTGTAGATGGCGAGGAGTAGGTTCTGTGCAATGCCAAAATGAGTTTGTAAGAATTTGGCAAATAATCATCATGTTTTGTTTTGATTGGTATTGCGTATGGTAATTCCGCATGCAGGGCTGAATATTACAATTTTTTAAATGCATAAAAAGTGCTTGGCTCCTCTGTTTCTGCTTTTGAAAAACTAACTATCCCAGACTTCAAAACTTGTATTATCATTAATCCAAAATACAATGCAAAAAGGATCACCATCTTTCAAATGCTAAGACAAGTTTTCAAAAAATTGACAAATGATCATCATGTTGTGTTTTGATTGATTTTGAATATGGTAATTCAACATCATTCCAGGACTGAACGTCACACACACACACACACACATACATTAATCCTTTAGTTTCTATTACAACCTCATTTCCAGAAATATACCGCACTAACCATATGCAAAATAAAAGCAAACATATCTAAATTCCTCATTACATTCATCAGAATATTCCAAAACAGATGCTCCGCCTTTTGTTTTCCTTGAATGAAAAATTTTGAATTTGCATATAACTAAACAATGTATAAACCTAAGAATCAGAGAAATGAAAAGGCTTGGGGAAGGATATGTAGTATCTTTGCATTTTGTAACAATACAATTTTAAATCAAATCACAACATAGCCCAACTTGCAGAAACTGTTATGATATGTTGTTTACTAGGACATATCATGTGACAACTTATTTTTTATTTGCATTACCACTTCTTGCCACTTCTGCTGCTTGTTATCGAGATCCTTGACAATGTCTCAAATCAGAACACAGATTAAGTTTGTATAACAAGTGTTTCTCATGAGGAAATTTATAATATTCATCTTGCTTTGTCTGTGCAGATAATTCATGGGAATGAAGGATGTGGTACACATTTTTTAACCTTTCTCCTTCAAGCTTATAAAAGAGCATTACCAGTTTATCTTCCTGTCTATTTAATTCCTGCCCTCATCGTACATCGTCAAGGTCTCTTGAAAAGGTAATTGATCTTGATGTTAAAGATATTTCTCCTTGTGTATACATGTTCCATATAGAATATCAATCACTGTGGGGATATATTCTGTGAGCTATGTTCCATAGTATTCAGTGAATCATCAATTAGAGGGGCAACATTTAGGTTGGATTGGAAAAGTCCTACTCGTTCATTTGAAATATTACTTGATGTGGGACAATGAAACTTTAATGATAGTAGGTAATCTGATTTGTTGATAAAAGAAATTACTTGATGTGGCATCTTTTCACAGCTTTTTAAAGTATTACTTGCATTTATTTTCCATCTATTCCTATATCCTGCCCCTACCTCAATGGATGTTGCCCCAACTTACACGGGACACTTTATAATATTTCCCTGGCTACCAAATTTGGCCGCCACGTAAGTTTGATACCCTCTGTAATAAAGAGGAAACATTTTGGTAATTACTCAATTTATATTGGTAAATTTTGAAGTTGGTAATGCTTAATGCACGGTTTCCCTTCCTTCCATATGCTGTTTTTCTATTGTGTTATAATGTGGGTTTTCCCCTGGTCATTGAATGTCATGATGTCTTTCAGACCAGTGCTATTCTATTTTTTATCCTAGTAAATCCATGGCATTTGCTGGTGCTTTCATCTGTCAATGCCACTTTTTAGATTTTCGGGATATTATTTTAAGTATTACTGATACTATTAACTCTGTTCAATCCATTACAGGCCTTACACAATTTTATGGAAAGGTCTGTTTGGTACTGTAAGGTCAAGCTTGTTCCTCTCAACGTATTGTTCATCTGCTTGGTAAGCAAGATTTTTATGATTTAAAAGGAACTCGTGTGTAATATACCCCTGCGAAACTGATTCTAAGCTCTTCAGTCTTGAATGTTCACTCCTATTCACCTATATATGCCCATCTTTGTGAATATACTATTATGTGAGTCTGGAGCTGACTTATCTAAAAGGAACTCGTGTGTACCGGTGAATGGTGATTGAGTGAGCATTGTGTGACTATTCAGGCTCAGTGGGAACTAAATGTTGCCTCATTCCAGGATTCATTGCAGGAGTTGAGATATTATATTTATGTTCACAGTATCTGATAAAAGTTCTGTTTTATTTTTTTATTTATTTTAATATTTTTTTTTTTCTGTTTTATTTTCCGCTTCTTTTCTGGGAATAAAAATGACTGGAAACAATCCTTTTTGCATAAGGTGCAACTCCTCAAGTAAACTGAGGGTGCCAAATCGTATATAAGAAATTTGTTGCATGTAAGGTTCCATCTGATGGAAACTACCAATACCAAAGCACCATTTCGAATATTATCAGTAATTTTGTATTGGAAAATTACCTCTTATTACATCTGCCGCCATTCTTCTAAAAGCACTATTATCTTTCTATGTTATGACATCGAATTCTTGATTGTATCCTATAATATTTCGACTTAGGTTATGGACATGCATCCTGTTCAGAATTTTGAAGAGATGTAACATTCCCATGGTGGCAATAGGAACGGTAAGAAATTTATCTTTTGCCGCTCCTTAAGTCTTCATATAAAGAAAGCTCATGTGTGTGTGTGAGAGAGAGAGAGGCGAGATTTAGTAGGAGTAACATTTTTTTTTCTCCGAACAGTTTCCAACTGGTCTGGCTCTAGCGATCGAGAAAAAGAGCAGAAGGATAGAGATATCCCTGTACTGTCTTGCACGAGCAATCGAGAGCTTTTTTACATGCATTGCAGACTCAGGACACTTGCCTCGCTCTAAACATTTTAAACGAGCTGATGTTGTGGTGTTCAGCATATCAACTGCAATGATAATGCACTGTTATGCCATGGAGCGGGACGTGTTCCGTTCCAAGTACCTAAATGTTCTCGACTGGGTGTTTGGTGTTCCTCTCTCTCCGTATGTGGCCACCCCACGTAAGAACCAAAGACAAAACAGTGCCGATTTTTAGGGGTCATACACTCCTCGACCCGTAATTTGTTGGGCGTGTTCTGTTTTAGGATTGTATGTGCCCTTTTATTGTCAGGGGTTGGATTATATGAATTTTCCCTCTCTCAACAGGTTGTACAAGGTTTTTAGTTTTAAGGAAACATATCATAGATTTCTCCATTGCTTTGTGGATTATTTAGTTTTGCACAAATATATTTGTTTGTTTGTTTGGTTTTGTACTGACTTCAGAATGCGGGTAAAAAGTTCTCCCAGGTCTGTAAGTTCTATTTTTGCATATTTCAATCCCGTGTAGTATGAAAACATAGGATGATTTGAAAACAGCAAAAAAAATAATAAATAAATAAATAAATAAATAAAATAAATAAAATAAAAAAAATAAAAACAAATATGGGGAAATGAAAAGAAACTCCAGCTCGTTCACGGGGGGCAGATTACGAATAAAAATCTTGGACGCCGCTTTGGCAAAGGTTTGTAATGGTATATTATCTTGACTTGTAACTGTAACCATTAATTTTTATTTGGGTGTTTTTGTGACGTAGGAGAAGCCGATAATCTCAAGAATACCTAAACACGATATTAAATCATCTTTTTATTTATAATCAACCAAGAAAAATAAACTAGAGTGTCTTTTATACAAGGTCCTGATCCTAAACTTGTCCATCAAGCTAAGATAAATAAAAACAATTAACAACAACAACAACAACAACAACAACAACAACAACAATAATAATAATAATAATAATACTAATAATAATAATAATAATAATAATAATAATAATAATAATAATAATAATAATAATAATAATAATAATAATAATAATCTACATCATTCTCCCCTTGTTCAAAAAGCTTCGCCCTTGAAGCTGATGTGCTCTTGTGACCAACGTGTGGTGTCGAACCCATGGTAGGAAACCTCCGTTGTTTCTCCTGTTGAACACGAAGGTTGAATGTCGCTCAACCAGTTCAACATTCTCTTGATTTTCATCAAACAGGGATACAACTACAGTCGTCTCACCATCAACCACAACAACATATACCAAGACTCTACCATCTAAAGACACTTCATCAACAAAGCCATAGTTAGCGACCTCTAAGCTATTTTGGGAGCTTTTTCTGAAAACTGAAACAATGACCAACTCATATGGAGCTTTATCAATACACCTTGGGCACAACAGAGCTAGCACATCTGCCTTCAGGATCAAATCTCACATAAAAAAAACGTGATACCACCTATTACAGGAATCACAACCAATGAATGTACCAATATCTGGATCTAAATCAATTGACATCGATCTATTACGAATTTTTCAGCCATCTCCATCCATGCAGACAACTGCATTCTCAACGATTTCCATGTTCCTGAAAAAAAAAAATTTCTGTCACATGAGGCTCTTCATCAAAGATCGGCGGACCATCATAAAATGATTTGTCATCGAAAACCAGCGGTCCATCGTAAAATGGCTCGTCTACACGAAACATCGATTCCCATCGGCGGTCGCCAACAATTTCAGCACCGCAAATGCACAGCTGATTGGGGGCCCTCTGCAGCCCTCGACCTCCCGGCTCAAACAAGGGTCGACGCCGTAACGTTCGCCATCAGAATCAGTGGTTGTTGCTCGCCTTTGGTCGCGCTCCCTGGGAGCATCGAAATCCTCAGCCCACATGGCACCCGACCCTTGTTCATCGCCGAAGAACGCAGTCGTGCACCACAGTTTGCGCGGCCAGCGGGCCGCAAAACCATCGAGCCCGTATTGGCCGTGCCCTTCGTCGCCCCGCGGACCATCGCGCTCACCGCCTAGCGCGAAGCCGCCGTATGCTTGCCCCGCTTCTCGTGAAATTGGGCTGCCCCTAGGGTTTCATCCTCATTGCAAACGCTACCATGCGCGAAACTGCCTCATGCCCGCCACTGCTCGCGCAATCGGGGTTGAAGCAGGACTTCGTTTCCTCGCCTATGTGGTCGATCTGCAACAAGGTTATCAGACCAAGCATATTTGCCAGACGAGGGATGTGGAGATCTCTGACGGGGCACCCCGCCTGGATCACGACCTCCACGTCCTCCGCGAACTCCCCAGCGCATGTCCTGGCTTTCTGCGTCACGGTTGGTCTGCAAATCCTTAACCATATTGTTGATCAGAAGACGAACTTCGTCAATCACCCTCGAAAGATACTCAACCCTACGATGCGATTGATTGATCTGGTGACAGAAGCCCATGGCTTGTCGACTCAGATACTCAATGGTAGCGTCACGCCCGTCGATGTCGTCTTACTTCGGCGGTATCTTGAATCGTGTTGACTTCTGATACCAACTGATGTAGGGGGTGAGACGACATTAATAAGATTGCAATCTCAAGATCACCTACATGATATCAATTCATCTGTTATTCATAATCAACCAAGAAAAATAAACTAAAAGGAGTTTTTTATAATAATAATAATAATAATAATAATAATAATAATAATAATAATAATAATAATAATAATAATAGTGTACACCAATTTGTTTGAAATTTTTAAATATTTTTTTTAAGATTTTAGAAACTCTAAATTATTTAATTTTAGATTTTTTAGCACTTTTAAAATTTTCAAGATATTCATTTAAGATTTTAAAACATCTTACAATATACCAAATCCTCACTTCAAATTTCATTTTCAGACTTTTCAAATTTCAATTATTTCATAGGATTTCTCGTAAAAATATCTTTAGTCTCAAATTTGTAAGTCTGTAAAGATCAGTCAAATTTCCTAATGAATTTAATATATGAAAAGTTGATTGACCAATCTTTCCACACGTTACAATCACAGATGTGTAAGATTTGCCGTGATACATGCATTGAACTAATTTATAATTTTGATCCATTCACATTTTAAAGAAATGTTTATATTTAAAAATTTTGTGTTGCTAATTTGTATTTTTAATCATTTTTTTTTTCTTTAAAATTGATGTTTGTATTTTAAAATATTTGCAGTCAAAAGTATGTTTGTATACTCTGACATTATCTAATTCGTTATTTTCATTTCTTCTAATCATCAATAAAAACCGTGAGAAGGAAACAGACGGACACGTCAATTCCGGTGTAAGGTAAGTCTAACAGAGTTGCAAAATAACAAAAGCTAATACCCGTACATATTAATTTGAAACGTGTTGAGTCTAACAATTACAAATTTTGACGAAATGGTTCCGTAACAGGACTCTAGTATTTCTCTTAAGTTTGAAAATGATGATAAAGTTAACGTCTTAAAAACGTGTGATTTATGTTACTAACTAAGACTCAATATTTCAAAGTGGTGTGTAATAAAGAATCTATAAATAAAATTTAAATAATCCCACCATCGCCGCTAATGAAGGCAACAAACAAAACCAGACAATCTCCCAATTGCCTTGTTTTTCACATTATATATACGCTCAAGCTCCCCCTTTTGTCCATATAACCAATTCTACAACAAACATGACATACTTTATCCTCCTCCTCGTAGCCTCCATCTTATCATGCTCCATCACACACCCGACCCGAGCCGCGGGTCCAAACGACACCCGGGTCCCACCGTACTCGTGCGACCCGACCCGCGACCCGTCCACGAAATCATACCCGTTCTGCAACCCCGGCCTGCCGGTCGAGACCAGGGCCCGGGACCTGGTGTCCCGGCTGACGCTGGACGAGAAAATATCTCAGCTGGTGAACAGGGCGGCCGCGATCCCACGGCTCGGCGTCCCGTACTACGAGTGGTGGTCGGAGGCGCTGCATGGAGTCGCCATGGCCCGCGGGGTAGAGAATGGGGTGTCCTTCAACTGGACCATTCGGGCCGCCACTAGCTTCCCTCAGGTCATACTCACGGCGGCCACATTCGACGCCGATCTTTGGTACCGTATAGCCAAGGTTAGTTTTGTAATTTTAAACGTGTGCTCAATCATGTGGATCTTGTCTGTTTCATCTGTATTGGAGATTACGATAAGGGCACATTTTGTTCATTATGTCAAGGGGGAGCCACCAATCCCACTTCGTGAAAAATATATAAAAAATATTAATTAATAAATAAATAAATATAAAAAATGATATATTTGATAGGGTTTATTTGAATTTTTTAAAAGTCCGGCACTATTACAGCGTCTTGTGGTGGGTCATATTTTGTTTTTGTGTCTTGGACAAGTTGTGCGCTTCATATTTTTATTTTAATAGGAAACAATTTACACTTGTGAAAAAGATATTATTCCATCTCCAAATATTGACCAACCCACATGAGTGAGTCACTTCTTTCTCTACTTCAATGATTATTAATTAATACACGGAGATGCTACGGTCTCGTTATAGAACAATTTCGTCAGTGTTTGTAACCGTGAGACCATTATGTAATCGTCGGGATAGATGACTAACGGTTACAAACCCCGACGGAATAGTTTCGTAACGGAACCGTAATATTTTCCATTAATATAAATACTACACAAGTTTTTTATACTATAAGTCAGGCTTAATTATTATCTAATAAAACTTATCTTACTAATTGTCTAATAAAAATGCATTTGTGAACTATACAAATTAAATATCATACTTTAAATTGTATTATTTTTTAGAGCATTTTGAATGTATACATATATTGTTAGAGTTTTAATAATCAGGTGCGATTAACCACAAATTTACAGAAATTAGAATGCACAGCTAAATGATACTACCACAAGATGCAAGTAGTCTTATTTTAGTAGTGTTTTCTTATTATATTCATGTAGAGAACATGTTACACTTAGAAGACCACATTATATCTGCTGGAAAATGCTACAGTCCCGTTACAGAATCATTCTGTGGGGATTTGTAACTGTTAGATCATCACATAACCATCGTAGATAGTTGATCTAACGGTTACAGACCCCGACGAAATGGTTCAATAACAGTACCGTAGAATCTCCCATATCTACTTTACACTATAACAACAATTGATCTCTAACAATACAAATGGTGATGAGTTGTTGTGAATACAGATGGTAGCTAGCTACTAGCTAACATTTAAATCCCCAAAATGATAATAACACAAGACAATAATTTGAAGGTGATCGGGACAGAGGCTAGAGCCATATACAATGCAGGCGAGGCAATAGGCATGACTTTCTGGTCGCCCAACATCAACATTTTCCGAGACCCGAGATGGGGACGTGGACAAGAGACACCCGGAGAAGACCCTTTCCTCACCAGTAAATACGCCATCTCTTTCGTTCGAGGGATTCAAGGCGACTCCATTCAAGGCGGACAGCTCAAAGACGGACATCTTCTCGTCTCCGCATGCTGCAAGCATTTCACCGCCTACGATTTGGATAACTGGAAAGGGATCAACCGTTTTATATTCGATGCCAAAGTAATTAACTAACTTTTATATATATTATCATCTCAATAATCCTCATCACAGACCAAAAGGAAATAGAATAATTAATGGCGCCTTTTTCTTTTGGCAGGTGACGAAGCAGGACATGGCAGACACGTTTCAACCGCCTTTCAAGAGCTGTGTGGAAGATGGACGAGCAAGCGGGATAATGTGCGCTTATAACAAGGTCAATGGTGTCCCCAATTGCGCCGATTATGATCTACTCACTAAAACCGCCCGCCAAGACTGGGGATTCCAGGGGTATACTCCTCAACTCGAAATTCGATAATTAACTCGTTCAACTTCTCGTACTAATTAATTACTTGGAACACGTTAATGCAAAACTAACAGGTACATTACATCTGACTGCGACGCGGTCGGTCTCATTTACGACGTGCAAAAGTACGCAAATTCGCCCGAGGAAGCTGTGAAGGATGTGCTCAAGGCTGGTAATTAATTTAAGTCTTCGTGTTAACTTAAATGGTGAAGCATATGCATGCATCTTCCTAACAAACCCCTTAATAAATAACTATACAAATTAACACGCGTACAGGCATGGATGTCGATTGCGGGCCTTACCTAGCGAACCACACGAAATCCGCGGTCGAGAAAGGGTTCGTGACCGAGCCCGACATCGACCGGGCCCTTTACAACCTGTTTGCCGTCAGGATGCGACTCGGGCTTTTCAATGGGCCCCCAAACAAACTACCCTACGGCTACCTGACCCGCAATGACATTTGTACGCCCGAGCACCAGGAGCTAGCCCTCGAGACCGCACGCCGCGGAATTGTCCTTCTCAAGAACTCGGCTAACTCACTTCCACTCTCCAAGTCGGAAATCGAATCCCTTCTAATAATGGGTCCCAACGCCAACGCCACCGAGACGCTCCTTGGGAACTACGCGGGCCCGCCGTGCATAACCATTACCCCGCTTCAGGGCCTGAAGAATTACAACGTGAAAAACACCGAGTTCCAGTCGGGATGCAACTTCATAAACTGCACGTCGATTGACTATAAAAGTGTCGAGCTGGCGAGGTCGGCCGACCGCGTGGTCCTTGTGGTGGGGCTCGATCAGGACAGCGAGAGCGAGGAGCACGACAGGGAGGATTTGTTGCTGCCGGGCGAGCAGCAGAGTCTTGTTATGAAAGTGGCCAAGGCCTCTAAAAATCCGGTCGTGTTGGTTGTGCTGTGTGGGGGCCCAGTTGATATCTCATTCGCCAAGAACGAGCCCAAGATCGGGAGCATTTTGTGGGCCGGGTATCCCGGAGAGGCCGGGGGCCAGGCAATTGCCGAGATCATATTCGGCGACTACAATCCAGGTATATATATATATGTGTGGAAAATGCTAAAGTCCTGTAACTGGACAATTCCTCTTAAAAAAAACTCCAATGGAAAATTGCTACATCAGCATTTATGGACTACATCTAAGGGTCCATATCAAACTACAACATCCAATGATTAATAATTAAGAGGACGGAATCATACCGTGATGGGACTGTAGCTGTCTAATTGTACATGCAAAAGTCCTGTCTCAAACCATGCATGTTAAAATATCAAATATGTCCTTTTTTTATTTAGGTGGAAGGTTGCCTCTAACTTGGTACCAGCAAGATTTCGTCAAAATACCGATGACCGATATGAGAATGAGGTCCGATCCCTCGTCCGGTTATCCAGGCCGAACCTACAGATTTCACACGGGTCCCACTGTTTTCGATTTTGGTTATGGTCTTAGCTACTCGAACTACTCTTACGAGTTTGTTTCGGTCAGCCAAACCAAGCTCCACCGACCAGCATCACGTAAGAACTCGAACTATGTCTTGATTTCGGAAATAGGCCATGAATCGTGCGACAAGGCAAAGTTGTCCGTTACGGTTAGAGTGGAAAATCAGGGGAAAATGGCGGGTACGCACCCAGTTCTGCTATTCCTGAAGTCCAAACAAGGTGGCCGCGATGGAGTCCCAATCAAACAGTTGGTCGGGTTTCAGACAGTGAGCTTGGGCGCGAATCAGAAGGGTTCGGTCGAGTTCCAAGTGAACCCATGCGAGCAGTTTAGCTATGCTAATGCGGATGGGAACTTGGTGGTCGAGTTAGGGGCTCAGTACCTGGTTGTAGGAGATCAAGAACATCTTATTAACATATAATTGCTCGACTAAAATTGTCAACATCCTTTTTTTTTGGTTTAATGATTCACAAATGTTTTTTTCTGGACTGGCTAATTTTGGATATTTGTCTTAAATATGATCATCCGGGTAATGACCACCTTTGTACTGAGTGCACGTGCCATGTACGTGATATACGATTTGAATTTTTATATGGCTTTAAATTATATTTTCTTTTTATAGCCTATTCAGGTTTTTTTTTTGCATTTTTATTTTTAAATAATCAAACAAAATAACTACATTACGTAATGAATGTGTCAAACATATTATAGTTTTCAAATAATAATTAAAAATTATGTGAAATTTTGGTTGAAAGCTCTTCTTTCTATTGCTCGAAATCTTTTTGGTTTGAAGAAGATTGAAAATTATGAATAGTAAAATTTAATTTGAAATCTTTTATGAAAATAATTGCATGTGATGATTTACAATTTTGTCTTCTTATTCTTCGTCTCTTTTCATTATTTTTATTGACTAACAATTGTAATTCTATCGATATCTGTTGACAAAAGTTTCTAAATATTATTCAAATTATCTTATGTTTCTAGTGACACAGTTTTCATATGTATTTTTCACTTGGTCCAATTAATTATAGTTATTTTCACGAGTTATCAATATATATTAAATTAGAATTGTAAGTGGGCTTGGGTCTTAGTCTCATCTTTCTTTGGCTAAGCTGGCAGGCCGGCCTGCTATAGTGCGCACCAAAATTATCCAACTATGTAGGTGATTTCTCTAGGGCTCGAAAAGCGCTCCCGAATCTTAAGATAGCTTATATCTCCCGCTCTCGGAAGGGGGCTTGGGTCTTCGTGATTTGAACGCTTGGAACCAAACGTTACTTTCATGCACTCTTTGGAACATGCAAGTCAAAAAGAATACCTTATGGTACAAATGAATCCACCAAATTCATTTGGGAGGCAAGTCTGCGTGGGAATGGGAAACACACAATGATGACTCGCCCTTTTCAAATATCTTTTCGAGATCCGAAAGGCCTTGGTAGATAAAGCGAGTAGTGAGCAAGCCGCGAAAGCTCTACTTCACCGTTGGAGTTCTGGAGGTAAGCAAGATGGGGCGTGAAGTTGCTACGATTTCTTAAGTCCTCGCGGTACAATGGTGCCCTGGACGGGGGTTGTTTGGAGCCCTTGCAACACCCCAAAAAATTCCTTCATTCTTTGGTTGGGAGTGCTCGTACAAAGAACCGGTTAGAGTTTCTTGATGAAGACCCGGCTTGCTCTCTTTGTGGTGGTGCTGTTGAATCATTGGGTCACCTATTTTTCGAGTGCCCCTTTAGCTACGAAATCCGGAGGGTGATTTGTGATTGGGTTAGCCTTCGTCATAGGTCATTGACACTCAAAGTGGCTCTTAAATGTACTACAAAGGAGGCATTTGAGGGGCTAGTTGGCGGACCAAGTTGAAAAAAACGACGTTTGCGGCTACCGTGTACTTCATTTGGAATGCGAGAAATAGATTGGTTTCCGAAAACGAATCTCAACCTTCGAGCCTAATGATTTGTAAGATCCAAACTCATGTTTATTGTACAATTTTGCGTTGTACCCGAACGTGCTTGCCGAATATGAGAGGAAAGCCCTTGGAGTATGATAAATATCCCCTTGGCACGAAGCTTTTGAGAGAGCAACTCGCGACCCGCGACTCGCAGGATTCAGCTTCGCGACTCACAAAATTGGCTGTAACTACCAGAAATTTTAGGCTGTAACTACAAGCTGAATCTTCGCGAGTCGCGGGACGGTCCGCAAGTCCGCTAAGACATCTGGGCTCTGTGACCGTTCGCGACTTGCGGACCGTCCCGCGACTCACAAGATTCAGCTTTCGCGACTCGCGGAATTCGCCATGACTTGCGGCATTTCTGGGGGCTAAGGTGTAACACCCTCGATATTATTACTATTTATGGAGCTCAATTTTATTTCCATACTTAGCAAGTTTCCTTATTTGATGTATTTATCTAGTATTATTTGCATTAAAGTGAATATTTATTTTAAGTCTAAGCCATGGAGAATTTATTCAATTTTTAATTTTAAAATCAAATTTATTTAGCCCAAATATGGTTGTATAGATATTATTTTTAAGCTAAAACCGAGCCTTGGAATTATCATAATTTTATTAAAGTCGGGTCGAAGCCCGGACGTGCCGAGCCTCGGCCCAATACCTGATCCATTTTATTCGAGTCCATGTTCGATTTTATTCCGGCCCATTTCATTTAATCAAACCCATGTTCGATTTTATTCCAGTCCATTTTTTTTAATCGAGGCTATGTTCGATTTTAATTCAGTCTATTTTATAAATCGAGCCCATGTTCAATTTTTAAATCCCTGCCCGTTAATTCGGCCGACCAATTATTTTAAAGCAAGCCCCGTTAAAATTTACCTAGCCCGAATATTTAATTTTTATTAAGCTCATCTAGCGAACATTTAATTCCGAGTCAATGTTCGGTCAAGCCCAAGCATTTGTACAAGCCCGATAATTTGAAGCCCAACTAACATCAAACCCTAACTCCTCCTACTACTATAAATACACACTTCATCTTCCTCATTTCCTTTCAACTCACACACAAACCCTAGTCACCATACACATCTCCTAGCATTCACATCAAGATCCGACCACTTCCATCTTTTTTCGGCCACCATGTCCATTTTCAGGCGAGTCGCCGTCCAACCACCACGCCGGCGACCAGAACCACCGGCGGACCAGCCAAGCCACGCCGTCACGACTCAGTGTTGTAAGTATTTTTACCGGAGTAGAATCGAAAGATTCAACACCGGGTCGTATC